ATAGCAAATTTATATAAGATATTTACATTACTTAGACTCTAAAATCATGAGACTTTATAATAAATCTTCTTCAACGGAACATTTACTCATCCTTACATATTTATCCTATTGCTGAGACTTTGGAGAATAAAGTGAGCGTGCTCACCTCTGTCCCCTTTCTGGGTTTTTTCTCTAAGCACTTCCTGTCCAGAGAAGGATACACTGCAATCTAGATATCCATTAAGAAGTTTTACTGGGTAGGCCCTGCCCTGGCAAAGGGGAATATCTGCCATTTGGGGTAAGGGTAAAAAAAAAAAAAAAAAAATGTTCAATTCCAGGAAGAATTGGGAAGCTGATAATGGCAATCAGTAGCTCTAATTGTAGCAATAATAAAATTGATATTTTGATTTCTATGTTTTCACTCTAATATATATTTCTCACTTGGTTCAGAATCTGAAAAATGAAGAAAGAGATGTTAAACACTAACCTTTAAAAATTGCAGCACACTCTAAAATTAGGCCAAAAATTATCTATAATTCCACCCTGAATTAGATATTGTCATGGGTCAGGTTCCCAGGAAACAAATTCTGAGATTTGCCTGCCTGACTTCTAGGGGAAAGTGCTCTGAAAAGAACAAGCGTGACTGGGAAAAAAGAGGCAAATTTGAGCAAAGAGGAAAGCTGAATTTGATGCAGTTGCCAATTCCAAGGGAAAAGCTGTGATGGCCCATCAGTTGTTCTCAACTGAGGCAAGGGTCTGATGGGAATTGGTACCCTCACATAGACCAGATATTAGACCAGAAAAAGGGCCACCTCCAAGAATGGAGTGAAAGCTTGGAAGTGGCACTTCTCTTTGGGCAAGAGTGATTTCCAAGGTCAGACCCAAATATGATCTATCTGCAGGTAACACTCCAGGCAGCTAGGGAAGCATCTCAGCCCTGAAGAGGAGGATCTCAGTGGCATACCACGGCATCTATAATACGTGTACGTACAGCATTTAAAACAGGTCCAGTAAGATCATCCAAGTAACAATGAGATTGTCCAAATGACTGGCTATGCCCTAAAACTACTGCATTACTCTGAAAATTAACAGAATAATGATAATGTGAGCCGAAGAGCTGATATTGGTCATTGTCCAATCAAAGGAAAAAACTACCATGAAGTCAGTAAGCATGAATAGTATTCTGATGATAACTGAAAATCTGCCTGGTGATTATTTTCCTATAAGTATGTTCAAGCAAACATATATCCCTATTTATATCTACATAGACATACCTTTCTTTGGAGATTAAAAAAAAGTAAGGAGGCTGCATATAAATGCTTTATACTAGAAAACATAGAAATTCTACCTCAATTATCTCTTCTCTCATTAATAACCACTCCCCTTTCCCAAGATCTCTCCTTGCCAGTTAAGAAAAATCTCCATTCCAATTAAGAAAATACACATACCAGAATCTATTAATGATTTACCTAATCCAAGCTCCCTTTGTGCATGTCATATTTCATGATGGAATACCTTTTGTTTGCTTCCCCCCCCCATCTTCTATTATCTCTGATTAAACTTGTCTCTTGTGTTTGATCGCATATTGTTAAAAGGAAATAGAAATGCCTGATAGATTAAGACGTTATCTTTCATCAATGTGAGGCTTACCCCCTGAAAAAAAATTTGTTTCAATCGTTAAAGTGTTGCAAATCATCCTAAATATAGAAATAGGATTTTCATCCTTAGTAATTCCTCTCATGCATTTACACTTTTTTTTTTTTGCAGGTAATTAACTACTTAACAGAGATTGCAGAGATAAAAAATAAAAATAAAAAAAAAACAACCTTGTGTTGGAATCACTGCCAAGTACAAATCAATCATAAATCAAAAGAAAGGCCCTTTGAAATTATAATGTCAGTCACCATGGAAATGGTAATAGTTTGCCTTCATTTTTTTCAAGGATTTATCTCTTAAGTAAAACAAGATATGCAGTACAAAATGGTCCCGGTTGACTGTGAACTTTCTAAAGACTCACTGGGCTGTAGGATGGGGGCTGAAACAGTTTACAGCAATCAAATTTGGCTGCGCTTTAAAATAACCAGAAATGTCAGCATAGGTTAAAGAATATAAAGTTGAGCAGCCATTAGCCTAGAATGCTTGCTTTTTATATAGTAATGCTTAAAAATCAGATATCAAATGTCTGCTCTACCTTCTCAAATTTAGAGAGTATTCAGCAGTCAACAACAACAACAACAACAACGACAACAAATCTCATGGCTTTGACAGTTGCCAAAATAGTGGAAAGTTAAAAATACTATATGACTGGTTAATGAGGGCTAAACAGAGGGAGATACCATTCGCTGCTGACCAGCAGTCCTCAGGCCAGACAACAACAGTATCAAGAGCATTTAGTCATAGGAAAGACCAGGAAGAATGATAGAAACAAGGGAAAAAAAATGACTGCAAAAAAAAAATTAAATAAAGCACTAAACAGAGACTAGAAATAGGATGAAAATGGCAGATAGCTAACGGGACAGTTGATTAAAGTCAAGAAGTGATGGCACAGAATGGGTAAGACCATGATAAAGAAAAATGGGGGTGCCTGGGTCTGACTTTGGTTTGGGTTTAGGTCATGACCTCACAGTAGTGGAATCAAGACCCCATTCCCCCTACCACCACCCCAGGCTCAGTGGGGGACTGGCTTCAGATTCTCTCTCCCTCTTCATCCTGCTCATGTGCTGTCTTGTGTGCACACTCTTTATTTGCTCTCTCTCAAATAAATAAAATCTTTAAAATAAAGAAGAAGAAAAATGAAACCAGAAGAGCAAATCTCTTAGGAGAAAGGTGTAGCCCCACCTACTACATCAGCTAGTCCAGGCATCTTACTGTTGTAACAGCTACTGGTCAAAATACTGAGAAGGAGTCACCAAAATACAGTGAGCCTGTATTCATTGTATTCTTTAGTAAGATGGGAGGGAGTATGTTATACATTTTGTAAGTTTCCTTTAAAAAAAAAAAACCTTTTTTAATTAAAATTTTTGTTCAATGAATAAATGGTCAAATTTACCTGAGTTATCTGGAAAAAAAAAAATCTTCAAAGTACTTCACTATGCAGCACTCTGGATAAGTGAAATGATGTTATATAAAAGGAGTAATAATCCATGTTCAGCTCCCAATAGGGGCAAGCTCCCCATACGTTTTTCTAAAGTTAGCCTCCCAATTTGATTTCCCCACTAGGCAATGAATTTCCCAGGACTGTCCTCAAAATAGCATCAAGTAGTGACTTTTGCCTTCACAGACTGGAGGGCAACGCAGTGGAATACCATGAATATGGGAAATACACAGTTCTCTATTGGTATTTAACTTTAAAATCTATACATAAAGGAACCCCTGTGCTTAAGGAGATCTCTCAAGGATTCACTGTCACTTGTCATGCTCCTTGATTCATACACCTATCATAAAATTCACTTCTGTTAACCTCTAGAGATGAATATGTCTTCCACAACTTGGGATTCACTAGGAGCTTAAATATCATTTTACTATTTCTGGCTTACCACCTTTCCTCCCCTGCAATCAAAACTAGAAAATGTGATGCTATGATACGAAGTATATATTCAGTGTATGACGCGAAGTATATATTCAGTTAGTGTTAATTCTCCCTTCCTCATCAATTCTACCCTTAGAATTGCGTAAAGATCCCATCTACAAAGATGACATTCTTCTTTTCAAGATGCAGAAGACACTGAGTTTAATGACATTAATATGGAATAGAAATTGCTCAGTTTAGAAAGCATACACTATGTTGTGTTGCTTTTAGAAAGCATGATTTGACCCATACCACATCTTTCTCTGGATTAACAATAAGCCATATCACAGCAAAGTTTGCCTTTTGAAATTGATTGTGTGTGTGTGTGTGTGTGTGTGTGTGTGTGTGATGTATATGAGAGAGAGAGAGAGAGAGAGACGAAGGAGAGCAAAAGATATAGGGAGAGAGGAGAAAAACAGACATCAATAAATCTTAAGTGGCTATTCTATACATTGAGCAGCCACTCAAAAATAACTGACTTTGGTAAATATTGATAGGAGTAAGGTCTATTTTATGTTTTGTGGTTATTATGACTTGGATCATCAGCCTCCTTGAGGCGTACCAATATTTATGTTGAGGTAACAGGTACAGATTGAATCTTTCTAAATACAGATCTGATTGGTCTCCTTTCTTTTGCCTACAAGATATTAGAATCTTTAACCCTTTACACAAGATGCTTGGTTCTCACTTTAACCCTCAGGTCCTTAAGAGCAGAATCCTAGTGTCATTCATCTGTGTAAGGTACTGGCTAGCACAGACCCTGCTCTCTAAAAGGTATTCGATAAATATTTGTTGAATAAATTATTATACAATGAATGAAATCTTTGAGAAATCAGTGCACTGTTAAATGTAACTTGGTATAATATGTCATTATCTATATTTAGCCATATTTATTAAGTATTAGAATTTTTAAACCATCTGACAGGGTTTGAGTTTAAGCATTTCACAAAAACAATGACTATATGAGGAAAAATAGAAGCTTCTACTATGTAGGAGGAAAAGTAGAAACCTGAGAGATAAGCTTATTTAAATGATAATGGGTGAGGACAAATAAAAGACTAATTAAAAAAAAAAAACATGAAGAGAAAACATTGGAGATTCCTATTTAAAAACTATACAGAAATAATACTTAAAACAAACCATGCGTTCATTTGAAATCACAATAGATAAAAATACTGTCTAATTTTTAAATGTCAAGTTCACCGATAAAGTGCACGATCTAAAAACTCTAATCAAGCTAATGTCTCAGGAACTATATTAAAACACAGTTTAAATAGCAGATTAGCACTCAGTAAAATAATTTTAAGATATATGTAAAGACTGTACATAATAGAACTTTAGAAATTAATATAAATCATCCTAAACTCTAGATAATTAAACATGTTTTAAAATGTCTTTGTGTTGAAACATTTTATAAATACACTTACAAGTAAAGCATTTTAAAAAGTCATACCTGCAAAAGAGTTGTTCTATGGAGCTTCAGTGCCCCCTTCTGGTGAATTTTAGCAAAGCAACCTGAACAATAATCTTCTCCACATTCAAGGCATACCTTAAAAGACATTAAAATATCATACATTCTTATAATATGACTTTGCAAAAACATTTGCATAAAGCAGTCATCTTTATTTCTACAATTACATGTCCAGATTCATCAGAATTGGTAGCCCAAGGAAACTGGAGCCATTTGACCCGATTACGATGTAACTGAGAAAAACTAGCTTGTAAACTCTAATTACTTTCATATCAAAATATATAGATGCAAGTGGGTTTTAGATATATGTGTTAGATGCATATATGTTGCTACAATTCCAAATAGATCATAAAAAATTGCAACCTCAAACCAAACTTCTTGACCTGATAAACTAAGCAGCATTATCTCTGAAGTCAAGACTACTTCATGTTTATGAGTTCTTTAATCTTCCTCTATTGATTTACATGGCACAATGCATATACTGTTTGTCTCCAAAAATCCCCACACACTTCTCTCAATGGCACTAATTCACTGGTGATTTTCAAGATACGGTTTGAAAAGTATTCTTAGAAGATTCCTCAAAGGAAAGAAAGTATAAGAAAAAGAACTGGATGGAACCACATCAACATGTCAGCAATTTTTATGACTCACGAAATAATTGTGGACAAGTCTGCATTTATCTTTCAAATTCTGGATGGTGTAAAAATGTAAATTTTTAAAGATTTTATTTATTTATTCATGAGAGACCCACAGAGAGAGGCAGAGTGAGAAGCAGGCTCCATGCAGGAAGCCCGATGTGGGCCTCCATCCCAGCACCCCCGGCATCATGACCTGAGCCAAAGGTAGATGCTGAACCGCTGAGTCACCCAGACATTGCATAGTTTTTTAAATTTATGGATAAATTGATGTGATATAACTGTACCTACGATGGCATTGAGCAAGACTGAAAGTAAAGAGGAAAAAAGTAGAATTTTTACTGCAAGTGAAATTACTACGTCCAGTTGTACAGCCACTTCAACACCCTTTACAACATGAGAAAAACCAGTCCAAAAGGCTAAGACCTCTAATTTTCTTGATTTTGGCCTAGGTTAATAAGCACAAATAAGAAAGCGTGAGGGTCTGGAGAGATGACGTCAGAAAGTCTATGTCACAGAACCCACATTCCCTTTGATCCTTTTTCATTTCCTCTCCCTCCACTTAGCATGCCCACCACCCTTCTTCCCCTCCTTCCTCTCTCTTCCTATCAAGGAATCGTAAGGAGAAAGCAGCTGGGCAGACTGGGGAGAGGCTGAGTGAACTGTGCAATACACAGTGATGCCTCCCAAACTGGATTGTGCTTATGAATCACCTGGGATTTTGTAACAGCGAAGACTGATTTGGGAAATCTGGAATGGAACCTGAGATCCTGCACTCTAACAAGCTCCCAGGGAACGTCCACGCAGCTGCTGGTATGCAGACCACACAGCAAGTAACAGGCACTGGGATGTACAGGATGTAGGAAGGTAGACTAAACTCTTATTAAAAACCCAATGGGAGTCCATTAATTTTTAAAAATTGTATTACAAGTCTCCGTGTGATGACAGATACCTATTATAATGTGGCCAGGTTTATTAAATATAAAATTATTAGGACAATGCTAACAACAACCACCAAAGGTAAAAAGAGTAAGACGTTTTATGTAACTAATGAAACTAAAAAGGAAGGCTAGGATCACATAACAATAACAATATCCATAATATTTACCAAACACTTACTCACTGTGCTAAGGGCTTCATATATTTTACCACTGAAGCTCACAACAACCCTATAAGATTAACACGATCATTGTATCTCCATTGTGAATAGGAGGTAACAAAGGAACATAATGATTGGGAATGTGCCCAGTCACACAGCTAATGGAGCCAGGATTTTAATCCCACAGTCTGGCTCAAAGTTCAAACTCTTGCCCATGGCCCAAATTACTAAAAATCACATTGACCATTAATTGCAGCACTGATCATTTATTGACAAACCTTGATAAAATTTGCAATAAAACAAAACCCGGTTGGTCAAATGACCGCATGGTAGGTATCTATCAAAATCCAAATGTACTTTTTTCAAATGTGATGAGCTATACAGAACTGGATTTTTATTCAAGAAAAATAAACACTATCCCTAATATGGGAACTAGTCCTAACCTTTCAACTCATGTTTCAAGAACAACAGTCTCTTACAGAAATGATGGTTAAAACACTATCTAGATTCCTTAATACATAGGTGCAAAATCAAATATAAAGCTATAATTTCACATGCATGAATGGCGGTACTATTGCACTAATGAATATTTCAAAATGTATTCTGTGTAATTTTTAGTTAACCTATCTGCTACTGTTTTAATAAGTTTCTCATAAATAGTTGGCACTGTCTTTATGATGTAATATAGAAGACTGAAAATCAGTTTGAACATAGAATTCTAAGCCAAGTATTTGTTAACAACAGATTTTTAATGAAAGTAGCCAAACGGATGTTGTAGACTGGAAGATCAAAGCTGGAATTGCAGAGTAAGCTTATATATTTTGTTATACAAGCATATTTGGATTTAAAGTGGGTTAAAATGACCGCCAACTGGAAAATCTTTTTAGGCAGTTTGAATAACTGGCAGAAAAGTACTAAAAATGTAGATAAGGACTCCATTCCACCACAAATGCTTCTTTCAATGATGGAATACCCAAGGGCAGTTTTAGCAGATATCTTTTTAATTTGATCAAGCCTAGATCAGTTGTGCTAAGCCTTCAGAATCCCTTTGAGCTTAATTAAATTATCCATATTTGCCAAATCAATATGTAATTTTTAACTATCCGTTTCAGTTTTGCCATGTACAAATAGCCTAAAGCTACTGGAGTTTCTTTTTAAAATAAGAAATTTGGAAGTTTGGGGTCTTATTTTTACCATCAATGTATGTGAATGTGTCAGGAGACATGAAAACCCGCCAACAACAAAACACACACAAGTTACTGTCTCCTATCAATGTGCCAGGTACAATGCTAACTGCTTCATATGCATTAACCTTTATTCTCAATAACTCTGAGGTATAGACTACCGTTGTCTGTATTATCCCACTGCTACAAATGAGAAAACAGAAATACAGAGGAAATTAAGCCATTTGCTAAAGGTCACATAGCTAATAAAAGGTAAAGTTAAGATTCAAGCCACCAAATTGCAAGCTCTTAACCCCTATCTCCCATATACAACTCATCCTGATGAAGACCCGATCATAAGATATAAGATGGTTTACTCTCACTACACAACCAGCCTTACTATGTAGAATGATGGACGCTAAGAATACAAGATAACCTTAAGGTTTATCAGTACCATGGTCTACTTCATTAGATGTGCCTAACTTGAATTTTTAAATAACTTATTGTGGTGTCTGACAAGTATCATTTCATTTCAAATCAAACAACACATTTTCCTAAAATCTTAGCAAAATTCTTTAAGAATGTGTAGGCTCTAAAAGCTGGTTTCTATTTATAACAGTTTTTCAAGCAAATCAGCCTTTTAATCACTGCGCCCATCATCACTCTTGTTTGCTTTCCAGCCACGCCCCATTTATCTTGTCTAGGATGTCCCTCTTCTTGCTTTTCCTTCTCTTTGGAAAAACAGACCCTTTATTTCCAACCCAAATTTTATTTATCTACGTACGTCACATTGTTCAAATTTCCTGGCCTTTAAGAAGCGTTCAACATAGGACAGCATTCACAAGAAATATTGACGGCTCTGACATAAATATTTTATTCTGATCATTAATAATGGACCCCAACAATTTGATTCAGCCAGTAAGTCCCTTTTAGCTTTCATACTTCCAACTTCAGGATTATTAACATTGTTTATATTTTTAAACATTTCTGGGTAGGTATAACTTGTGAAAATGTCTTACTTTTTGTCCATCATTGTATCAAATAAGATAGGAAAACAGCATAATGTGACGGTAAGAGCATTGTACCAAGAGCCCAGGTTTTACATTTAATATTGCAATTAATAAGCTCTTTATTAGAGTTACAGCATTCTAACTCTCTTAGACCAGCTAAAACTGCCATGAAATGAGAATAGTAGCGTAGTCTCAAATCAGAAATGATTGTGGCCAAATTCTCTGAAACTAAAACAACTATCAGTTATAATAATCTACAAATATTAGCTATACCCATTAAATTCTTTGGGAGAAAAATGGCTTCTTAAGTCTGTGTAATATTTTAAATTACATAAGATATTAGAGTACTTTAAATACTAACTGAAAGGAAGATGTATCAGAAGTATTACAGAAAAAAAGTTGATTCATTCAGCAAATAGTTATTGAGTGCCTACTGAATTGCAGGCATAATTCTAGTGGTGGGTATTCAACAGTGAACAAAACTAAATCCCTACATGCCTGAAGTTGACATCGGCAGGTGGAAAATAAACACATAAATTTATATTAAGGGGTAATAAATGCAATGAGGTTACATGGAACAGCTCCAAAATACTCAGGGCAACTCAGCAGTTGCTTTTACAAAGGGTTGCCATGGCAGGGAACATTTGAATTAATCCTTATTATGAGGAGAATGTAGGGGGAGAAATATGTTGGAAGATATACTAAAGGTTCGATTTGAACACATTAAGTTAGTGATTACTATTAGACATCCAAGTAGAGGTGTTGAATAGGCAGTCTGAGTTTGAAAGTTCGGGGGAAAGAGATGAGTTCGAGATGTAAATTTAGGAACCATCCATGTAGAGAAGATGGTCTTTAAAGCCAAGAGAGTGGTAAAATTACCTATAAAGAGTAAGTAGGGGCCCCTGGGTGGCTCAGTCAGTTAAGCATCTGCCTTTGGCTCAGGTCATAATCCCAGAGTCCTGGGATCAAGCCCTGTATCGGACTCCCTGCTCAGTGGGGAGCTTGCTTCTCTCTCACACTCTAACCCTCCTCCCTGCTTGTGCGCTCTCTCTGTCTCAAAAAAATAATATGTAAAAAAAAAGAGTAAGTAGATAGACTAGGGAAGAGAGCTGAGTAGTAAGCCCTGTGGCACTGCAATATTCAGGGACCTAGAATACAGAAAGTAACAAAGACTGAGAAGGAACAGTAAGCAAAGTAAAATGAAACCAAGAGAAAATCATGTCCTGGAGGAAGCCAAGTGAAGAATCACAAAAGAGGAGAGAGGAATCCTTACTGATAGATTAAGATAAGAACTGAAAATTAGCCACTGTCTTTAGGAATATGGATGTCACTGGTGATCTTTATAGGAGCAGTTGCTGGACATAGACCCAATCCTGCATGGAGAGGGTTCCATGAGAATTTAGCAATTCCACTTCTAAGCATATACCCAAAAGAATTGAAAGTTGACCCCTGGACAGGTATTTATACCGATCTATGTTCATTGTAGCATTACTCACAATACTCAAAAGGTGGAAACAAGTGTCCCAAGTGTCCACTGAGGGGATGAATGGATAAACAAAATGTGGGATATACATACAATGGAATATTATTCATCCGTAAAAAGGAAAGAAATTCTGACACATGCTACCATATGGATGAACCCTGAAGACATTAAGTCAAATAAGTGAGGCACGAAAGCACAAATACTATAACCTTCTGCTTATATGAGGCACCTAGAATAGTCAAATTCATAGAAACAGAAAGTGGAATAAGAAAGTAGAATGATGATTGCCAGGGGCTGACAGGAGGGGCATATGGGAGTTACTGTTCAATTAGTACAGAGTTTCAGTTCCTTAAGATGAAAAGAATTTTGTGGATGGACAGCGGTGATGGAATCACAATAATGTGAATGTATTTCACACCACTGAACGGTACTCTTAAAATGGCTAGAATGGTAATTTTTAAATTACGGTATATTTTGCCATAATTTTTTTTAAGTTCATGAAATCAGCAACAATGAGGAGTTAGAGAACTGTCAGGACCCATTTTCAGGGGTCCTTTTTTCAATTTCATTTCATAACTTTTAAGGAGAAAAAAAAATAAACATCATTGGAGGGGGAAAAAAAAAAGACTTGCAGGGAAAGAAACATCCACACAGCCTTAAACGTAGTAAAAAACTGGGAACAACCCAACTGTCATTCAATATGTCAATGAAAAAACAGATCTTGGTATATTATATAATCGAGTGCTACTCAGTAATTCAAATGAACAATCTACTAAGAAATGTAATAACACGGGTGAAATCTCCATGTGGAGCAAAAGAAGCCCTTACACAGAAAACTATGTGCCCTATTTATTCCATTTACATGAAATTCAAGAATAGGTGCCACTAAATGGGTGGTGCTTAAAATCAGAACAGTAGTTGGCTTTGTGGTGGGAATTAATTGGAAAAAGCACGAGGGAACCTTCAGGGGTATACATCATACTGATGTGGGGGGCATGTACATTTGTCAAAAGGCATCTAATTGCACATTTAAGATCTTTCTATTTCACAGTAAGTATGTTATACCTCAGTGAGAGAGAGAGAGAGAGAGAGAGAGAGAGAGAGAGAGAGATGCCTGGGTGGCTCAGCGGTTGAGCATCTGCCTTGGCTCAGGGTGTAGATTGAGTCCCACATGGGCCTCCCTGCATGGGAGCCTGCTTCTCCTTCTGCCTATGTCTCTCCCTCTCTCTCTGTCTCTCATGAAAAGATAAATATTTTTTTTTTTTTAAAAAGAGAAAGAACAGGAAGAGAGAATATGATGAGAGCAGGTATAGGCAACTCTTTAGAAGTTTTCCTAACAAGGATGCAGAGGGGGATGTGGTGGTCATAGAACTTTGGTTGTGTTTTTGGCTTGGAAAGTACTGCAGCATGTTGGTGTGCGGAGGGGCAGGATCCAAGAGAGAACAAGAGTTAGGTGATATCCTTAAACGGCAATGAGGGGGTGAGATGCCGTGCACTGAATGGGGGCAGCAGGCACACTTCACCTTTAGCAACAGCGGAGAAGGAAAAGTGCCTGGCTACTAGAGCAGGTCAAGTTGGGAGAGGTGAATGAGGCCACGGGAAAGTTATGTTCTAGTATCTGATTACAGTGCACATACCAGCAGAGCACTTTTGTTCTCACACTGTCCACACAACTTCCCTTTCATCTTGGGTTTCTCACTTTCAGAAGGATTGGCCATCTTATAATTAAGTGGTTGTTTCACTGGCTCTGGAAGAAAAAAAAAATGTCAGGCCAATCACATGAAATATGATGTCCAGTTTTCTGACTGATGAAATAATGAACTATGCACATTTCTAAATTCTCAAAGAGTATTCAAATATTAATTGCCCAGTAAGAATGGTGTGCAACCAAGTCTATTCTTCCCAGTAAACCGTGGAGGCCACAGCCTGCCTCGCAGCCCCCTTGGCCACAGGGCCGCACATACCGGCCCACACCCATTCTGCTTAAAACTCACTTGAATTGGACATTTGAAATTACAGAATGTTAAAAACCTATGCTCCTGATAGATTCCTTATGGTTCCGTCCCATCTCTAGAACAAACTAAATGAAGCCTACATGGAATAACTTCTATATTGAATGTTATATGTATTTATTTCTAGAATTTGTTCTACCAAGTAACCTTAGCCATTCAAATTAAATGTACTTATCTGCTACAAAAAAAAAATATTTCTTTTAGAATTACTGTGAATTCAAAATTGATTTGGGGGTTTTGCTATTGTGAAATTATGTATTAAAATATAAAACCATTTTCAATATTCTTTTAGATTTCTGGAATTAAATTTCAAAATATAATTTTACATGGGTAAACTATCTTCCTGGTTAAGAGATTATGTAATAAAGTTTACAGAAAGCCCTCACTTTTGAAAATGCTATTATCATATTTGACGTTTTCTGATGTTTTTTGACATAAAACGAGGTTGTCCCCCCAAAAAAAATAAATAAAATGAGTATCAAAAGTCATAAAGAGCCATCATTTGGGGGTTTAGAATCTTTATATTGCATGAACAATTCTGGCATTTTAATGTTCTTTAAAGATATAAAGTATATATATCTTTCTTTCTTTAAAGATATAATTTTAATTTTATCTTTAGCATCTAATAACACAGTGGCAAACTGGTTACCTTGAAGTTGCTCCTTCAGTAATTTTAATTTCACTTTTCCAGCAGAAAGCTGTATTAATGAAATAGATATTATTTGTCAGGTATACATTCTCTTCTCCAAAGAAAGTTTAAGTTACTAACAAAAATATTAGAGAGTCACAGCATTTCAGTGCATCTTGAGTAAAACAAACATTTTGAGAGAATAATACAAAATTAATAGAAAATCATAATTAAAGCATATATAGAACTGGTAATTAAGAGAACATACCAAAAAAAAAAAAAGAAAATAAATTGTGGAAATACATAAACCACTTTTGAAGACATGCCATAAATTATGTTTTAAACAAAAATAATTATACATCATCATGAAATTATTTTAGGAAAGCACTAGTATTCAAATACTGTAAAGGCTCAGTTAAGCCTGTTCTATCTCTGCTCTTTCTGAAATACACAAAGTCTAATATTTGGGTAGACTAAATCTAAACTGAATTCTGACTGAGCCACTCTGCTTACATAACCGTAGAAACCAATATTATCTTATTTGTCCAATTTAGAGAACCACATGCTTAAGCATCATAGATTTAACCTTCAATATATTGGCTGTGATCCCTGACTTTCTGAAGTTATAGCCCAAATATTGAGTAAATAAGCTTCACTGTTAGATGTTTCAAATAGTTACTTAAAAATCCTTGGATCTTAAGATTTTTGTTTTTGATCTTAAGATTTCAAGACAAAAAACAGACTCACCAATTGTATGTACTTGCCTTAGTCTTATTAAAATCAACATTCAAAGTACACAAATGAGCATGAAGGAATGGTGCACATTTATACAGACCCTGTCAATTCAAGCCTAGTTTTCAATTTGCAATTTGCATGCTCAATTGCCCAATTTGTACATGAGAATATGAGAACAACGGTTGCCTCTATGTCGACGGCTGTACCAACTGCAGTCATCTTTGAAAATTTAGGCATAATTATTCTCAGTGAATCTAGTGGTTTTGCTTCCAAAGGGCATATTTTGTTCACATTCTTTAAGTAGCTGCTCAGATGCTATGTACCAAACACAGCAGAAAAGAAAATAGGATTGAAATAATCAATTTTTATGTGAATCACACTTTTATTTTTAAACCAAAAATGTTATACAAGCTACAGATAATTTAATCTCATTTTTCATAATGAAACTATCCAATATTATTACCTTAATGATACATCTGAATTGCAACATGATCAATGTGGTTATAGGCTACCTGGGCAGAATGGCTACGCCAGAGCAAATTGAACCCATTGTTAGGGAAATTTTACAAGTTGTTTTTATTATTGTGAATATTTTTCTGCTTTATAAATACGGCCATATCTACTTCAAATGATTCAAACTGCATAAAAATATTTCAGTGAACAAACTGCCAGTTGCTATTTTTAGGCAAATAGAATTTCCCCCTATGTCTGATTTTCATCTGTTTGGGAAAGAGTTGAGGGCAAGGTAGGGTTGGACCAGGGATACACATACCACACACACGTCCATATGTGTATACACATACATAAACGTGTCTATCCAAAACATAAGGCATTCGATATCTTGAAGCCTATGCTGCATGAACCCACTTAATGCCTCCACCAGTAGATGCTGACAGGGTGCCATTGGGGTCCAGGGTGGTTTAGTAGCTGTACCATACAGACACATCATCTGGGCCATTGGAACCAGGCTATGCTGTCATCATCAGCCTCCTTGGCCTTGATAAATGCCTCCAAACTCCCACCAATGCCCTAATCTGCTGTGCTGGGCCCACACTCCTCCCATGAGCCACCTTTTCAAATATTCTTATTCTTAACCCAATGAGCTACATAACCTTTGCCATTTTCTATGGTCTGTCCTTCCATCCTGGTTTCCTGCTAGTCCACAGAGTCCTTAATAAATAGTCATTTATCTTGTGCCTTAAACCTTTCCTTAAAATATCTCTTGCAAAAGTTCACATTAACTGGACTCACCTTTCCTCAAATACAACCTTGTCCAGAAAGCTCTCCAGAGGAACTAGCTGTATTTCTCTCCATCTCAGTTCTGGGTGATGACCGTGGAGGCTTCAATGTTCATGGTCACCTGACATCCTGATGCCGAAAAACCCTCCAATATGTTGACTACTATGAACATCTAAGTGCCTTGTCAGTCACCTGACCATTATGACCAAACCTTAAACCTAAGCAGCAATCTGTATGACCACACCTTCAAAAGCCAAACTCAGAGCTTCTCAGTGCTAACCATGATCAGCTTACCTCCTTCCTCTTAGACTTCTACCTCTATCTACCTCCCATTGTGATGAAATAATCCTGACTGGATCCCCTACAAATCTACGCTCTTATGGATCTTCAGCAGTTTACTTATTCATTCCATGCTAAACCTCAATCATGGTCTCCGTGGCTACATCCAACTTTCTCTATCCCAAAAGACCCATATTCACCCCATTTCCCTTCCTTATTGTGAGCAGATGATCCTGCCAGCATACTATGAATGCTGATGTCTTCCCATTAAAATCTTTCCACGGCTTCCTTCCTCATCTCCTTTCAAATGCAATCTCTAAAATGTCACCTTTGCTGCCACCTATTTACTCTTCCATCTTTCTTACCAGATACAATGTGTCCTCCTTCCATTGGTTAAGGCCTTTTTAATGAGCTCTCTCTTCAAATGCTGCACTCCAGGAACTGATACCTCTCTCATTTGCATCTTCAATCTTTTCTCCACTAGTGACTCTATCCCTCCGCTACAAACTAGCTCACACGTCTTATAATAATGATTATAATAAACAACATACACTTGATTCTTAAACAACATGGGGGTTGGGGCACCAAGTTTTGACCCCCCCAAACATAACTGCTTAATAGCCTACTTTTGACTGGAAGTCTTATCGATAACATAACCAGTCGATTGACACATACATATTCTGTATATGTATTATATATTATATTCTTAAAATAAAGTAAGCTAGAGAAAAGAAAATGGTATTAAGAAAGTCATAAGGAAGAAAAATGCATTTATAATACTGTACATACATTTGAAAAAATATCTGCTTATTAAGTGGACCTGCACAGTTCAAACCTGTGTTGTTCAAGTGTCAACTGTAATAAAGTCTTTCCTTGGTCCTGTTAAATCCTTGAGAGGTCATCCACCATCCTCATACTCACTGCAACGTTAACTCTTTACTTACTGCCATCCACCCTTATTTCTGTAACCACGTAATATTTATTTTTCCATCTAACATCAAATCAAATTCAGTGTTTTTAAAAAAACTCTCATTCTCCACAAACATTTTAATGTGATTTGCAGCCAACGTTACAACTGGTTTCACACAAAGAATCTCAACATTGTTTAAACTCTGTGAGGTAGTTAAAAAGTATGGTTATGTATGTTTACGGATATGATAACAGAAGCTCAGAGAAGTTAAGGGACTTGCCTAAAATCACAGAGCTAATAAAATCAAGATTATAATCCATACAGAGTCAAGATTATAATCCATATAGACAAACAGAGGGTTTCTTGACCCTGATACCATTGACATTTAGGCCAAATAATTCTTTGGTGTGAGTGCTGTCCAGGATATCGTAGGATGTATAGCAGCACTCTTGGCGCGTAGCCACTGTCATTAACCAAACACCCGAAACCCTTGTGGTGGTGATAACTAAAAATGTCTCCTGGGAGGTAAAACTAACTGCTGTTGAGAAGCACTGGTCTCAAATCACAGTCAAAACACTCTCCTTTACTTTTGTTTTCTGTGAAATTACATTACTTTGATGCTACTGCTACCATCCTTCCTCTTCTCAGGCTCCCTTTACTGGAGAGCTGGTGAATCACCTTAGAACCAGCTTGAAAGCCTGCATTCCAAATCTTGGCCCTGATGCTTGACCTTGAGCAAGTGAATTTCTTTGATGTTAAATTACTTCATCTGTGGAACTGGAAAAATAACAACTGCCTCTAAGAGTGATATAAGCACTAAATGAGATAAAACAGGAAAAACAGCTCAACTGTTGACTGGTATAAAATAGATAGTGATTATCAATATTAAAGTTCTCTTTTACCTCCATATCCCTCAAGCTTTATCCTTCACACCTGCCCTTTGTGAGCTCTATCCTTTATACCTTTCTTCTCCTTTTTTATAAATTCTTAGGAAGTACATTTATTATCTTGGCTTCAACACATGAAAAGTCAAACAAAACTCTAAATCTTCAAAATTTGTTAGGTAGAACTTAAGTGTCCTCAAAGAAAGAAGGAAAGAGGTAAATAATGTGATGTGGGAATGTGTTAATTAAGCCTAGGGGGGATATCTTTTCCCAATGTACACATATATCAAATCATCATACTGTACATTTTACATTATCTTAAAAGTGTAATTATCAATTATGCCCCAATAAAGCTGAGAAAAGAAGGGAAGGGAAGGGAAGGGAAGGGAAGGGAAGGGAAGGGAAGGGAAGGGAAGGGAAGGGAAGGGAAGGGAAGGGAAGAAGGAATTTCTAAATCCCCAGGGGTTTTTTCTACTTCTCTCTTCTACCTCCTTTTCAATCCAAACTGATATCAGAAGTCAAATGACTTCCTCCTTTCTTTTCTCACTGTTTTTTTGGTTCCATAGTTTTCTTCATATTTCTTCCACTACATTCTAATTCAGACTCTTCTTATTTGACCTCTAGATTCTTTTAGTTGTCTTCTAAATAGTCTCTCTGCCTCTATACTAGTGGCCTCTAAGGTATGTAGACATGTGTGATGGAGCTCAGGAAAAGACCAGAAAGTAGAAACAAAGTATCTGTGTTTATGTCATCCTTAAGTAATGTCCATAATTTGTTTTACAATGCACATGATATATTAGTAAACTATCACTTATATAAATAAATTCAATTTATAAATAAAAAAGGTTCATGTATAGAAAAGTCCATGATCAAAATACATTATTCATTGATATGGGACATGATGAAAACAGTTTCCATATCATTCTATCTTCTATTTATAAACTCCTAATGCACTGGCTATTTAGACAAGATCAGCCATCATAAATCATCACCTTAATCTTGCTTTCCTCCTGCTCAAAAGCTGTCAGGGAATTCCATTCCCACAGTAAGAGTCAAAACTCTCAACTCTGATATTTAAGGCCTTCCCTCCTCCTCAGGCTCACTTTCCACACCCACCTTCTACAGCTCCCCAGACCCCAGGCTTTCACATCTTCTGACTCAATTATGAGGCTTGTGGGGCCTCGCATCATGACTTATTCATCATTTTTCCCTTATAAAGACATCTAGTAGACTCAAATATTTCTGGAACTAAAGTATTTTTTTCCCAAACATAGATGGTTCAGATACTAAATAGTTATGAAAAAAAATGACATACTGACTTTTCCTATTCTCAAATGTGCATCATCTTTCACATTAGATGAGGATCTTCTCAGGGACAAAGATAATGCACTATGTGACAATGGAGGCACTTAATAATTGTTATTGAATAAATAAGTCAATAATCACAGAGCCAGCATTTTTAATATTTTATATATCAATAACATCTGATACATGGAACACTCAGATCATGAAAAAATGGGAAGTGGATTCTAAAACTTTTAATCCCAAAATTAAAGAAACATATTGCAGTAAGAGAATGGCACTAAAGAACAAAAGGCTTCTTTGAAGGCAAAAAGGTTAGAATCATCCAGTAAAATGTTTATAGATGCCACTGGCCCAAAGAAAGTTCAATGATAGGTATATAAAAGAGAAAAAGCTATATAAGTTAAAATTTACAAAGTCACGGATCTCATACTAACTAAACAATCCAGAAATAAAACAGCTTTCCTTACATAGAGTCACTCATCTGGTTTTAATCTTAAATATGATGTAATGTTATATTTTATAATATACAGTAAAGATGAAGCAATTCTACAGCTGGAAGACCTGAAAGCATTTTTTTCTTTGGGTATCTTCACATATGGAATCAATAGTATATAAATAATAATCATTATTCAAGCAAAACAAACAGATTAAACAAATGTGATACAATAAAAAGGCAGGAAAAAAGTCTGTCCTTTGTTACATCGTAATATAAAACTACATAGTTGTACTGCACATACTTGAACCAGAACTGAACCGTATGAAAGAAATTCAGTTTAGAAAAATTCTACTCGAGGTGAATTTTTAAAAATCATCTTGCAGATGAAAAACAAAGTATATCTGAATAATGAAAGCTACAGATTAATCCATAAAATTGATCAAAATCCAATAATATGTAGTTGTTAAAATAAGAATAGTAGATTCTTAAGTATGGAAGGGAATACAAGATCTGAAAAATTAATTTATATCTCTTCACTGAGTAAATTCCCTCAGAACCAAATGGTATTTTCTTACCTTAATAACATTTCCTTTATTTTGTGACATCATGTGTGATTGATTACCCAATTTTCCCAGTTGCCCAGATTTCCAGTGATATCCACTTGACCTTCAATACATATAAACAGAAGACTAAATGTAATTACTAAATACATTTCTCCTTTTAATGAAAATAAATATATTTTCCTTGTTTCAAGAAATGAAATTCAGTCATTAACATGTAACAGACCACCACAAAATGAAAATGAAATATCAATAATGCCACAATATCCTCAGTAATTCTAAAAAATAGCTCTACCATATTTGGAACTTCTGAGAAGAAATGAACAAAAGTAAAATGTCCAAACACAGATGCAGAATTTCATTTTTTAGACATTTATGATGATTAAAGATAGTTTTATGGATTTATAGGAAATTTTACAGATTGTCATGCAGTTTTAAAAACTGGTCTACAAATGTAAAGAGGAAAAGGAAGCAAGACAATACTCAAAATAGTTGGCAGATCTACTAAGTGATGAATTCCACATTTAAGACGACAAATCAGCTCCCACATTGAAAGGTAACAGAGATGGCAAAGAAGGCAAACTGTTTAATTTCTAGTTTTCCAAGCACTTTTGAGTCTCACAAAATGTTTTGAAGTTAACAAGGCAAAAGTCCAATTTTCACTTAAAAAATAATGAGACAAAAACTTGCCCAAGGTCACACAGACAATAAATAATGAAGTCAAGTTTAGAACACTGGACTTCTATCTTCCTGACCAGTGAGTAGCAGGTTCTCATTCTGGCTATGACATTTACTATCTATGTGATCTTAGAAGAACATTTACCTCTTCTAAAAAGTCAAGCATTAGGACATTTTTAAAAACATCTAGAAAAGGTTTTTTAGCTAATGAAAACCCACTCTTGGGGCTGATTTCTGGACCTCTGATGCACAAATATTTCATGATCCACTGAGAAGTACAAACTAAATTCACTGGATCACTAAGAGAAGAGCAGCAAAATATACAATATACTTTGTCACCTGAGATGACATACGACATTGAGATCCTTGATTAGATCAATGTTCTGGTAATTAGAGAGGGTGTGTGTATGTGTCATGAATATGTTTTTAAGGAATCAGACTCAAGATAAAAACAACTGGAGTTACTGTAAACATCTGAATTTTCTTTAATGGCTCAGAAGGTATTGCATGGATATTTGATGCTATCACTTGGATATTTCATAAGGCTAAACAAAAGCTGATTTAATACACATAAAGCCTGGCAATATTTAGTACCAGCCAAAGCACATGAGATGGGCACTGTCATTCTTTGTAGGAGAAAGTTACACATTTTTGAAGCCTATCTGAAAGACAATTTCTCCAGTATCTACCAAAATGCAAACTGCATATATACTTTGACTCACAATTTAACTCTTGGATATCCTTGTGTAAGCAAACACAAATATATATAGAAACACATTCACAGCAGCATTTATAACTGCAAAATAGAAAAAATAATAATAAATATCTGTAAAATACACAAATATCATGTGCCATTAAAAGAAAGGCATCATGGGACACCCAGGTGGCTCAAGCGGTTGAGCATCGGCCTTCAGCTAAGGGCATGATCCTGGAGTCCTGGGATCGAGTCCCACGTCAGGCTCCCTGCATGGAGCCTGCTTCTCCCTCTGCCTGTGTCTCTGCCTCTCTCTTTCTCTGTGTCTCTCATTTAAAAAAAAAAAAAAGCATCAGTTGTGTGCTGATGTGGCAATAGCTATAAGACATATTAAGTAAAGAAAAAAAATAGGGTGTGAATCATTTTATAGATCACCTCACTTGTAAAACATAAGACATGTCAGATATACACAAACACATTCATAGAAAATGTATACACACACAGGTTTATACAAAGATATTAGTGGGGGAAAAAGAATTTAATTGTTAAAAACAGTGCTACAAATGGGCTGGGAGTCAGCCTAGAGCTAAGAGCTAAGAAGAAATAATTTCCATTATATAACTATCAGTTCTGTTTGGCTTTTATCATCTGTATTTATTAGTTTTATAATAAAGGAAAACTCCCAGTAAAATTAGTACAGATACAAAGCACAATATTAAAGTGTGCTCATTAATAAAATTTCAGCTAAGGCACATTTGTCTAAAAATATTTTAAATATACTTGAGGGTTTGAATGATTCCTATATATGAACATGTAAACCCCTGTCCCGGCAAAGTATTTTCATAAATAAAAATGACCTTAAACACAAACTGGCAATCTCCTACAGATGGCAGTTTTATGAGAGCAAAGGCCAACTTCTGCATTGCTGTGCTAAACATCCCAGACTTTAATGGTTCCGAAGAGTCATATAAGAGAAATAAGAAAGTGTAAGACCAAATAAGGTTCAAAGGAAACAGAAGTCATGCTAATGTTAAAAAGGAACATGCCTTAATGTAAAGGACACAAAAATGAAAAAGCAGGAGAAATTTAATATTATTTGTTCATCAGGAAAAGTTAGAAATTTCTCATTAAGGGCAGATCTTTGTTGGAATGACAATAATATACGAAATAGTTCTCTACTCATGGGGCAACCTGGGTGGCTCAGCAGTTTAGCACCACCTTCAGCCCAGGGCATGATCCTGGAGACCCAGGATCGAGTCCCACGTCGGGCTCCCTGAATGGAGCCTGCATCTTCCTCTGCCTGTGTCTCTGCCTCTCTCTGTCTCTGTGTCTCTCATGAATAAATAAATAAAATCTTTAAAAAAAAATAGTTCTCTACTCAATTCAGTTTATTTCTCTATAATCCCCTAAAAATGTCACCTACGCTCTTTCTTCCTTCTCTTTGCTCCGAGCTGATTGGAATTCCTGTAGTTTCTTTTCCATCTGTTGGTTCTCCAGTTCTAACTGTACCTTCTCCAATCTCAGTTCCCGAGCATTTCTAAGTAAAAGTCAAACACAGAACGTTCATTTGTGGTAAACAAACAAACGAACAATAACAACAACAACAAAAAAAAAAACAAGATAAAAGAATTTTTGTGTCATCTTTTGCCCTTACAGTTATGAATAGTAAATAATGATAAAGTAGTCCAAGGACTTCCTTTGGAAGTCTATTGATTTCTATGGTTTCTTAGGTTAACATTATCTTCCATTAACATTCACCTTAACGTATGTATATTTTCAAAATTCAGATTTTTGGTTTACCTACTACAGTGCTAGAGGTTTCAAATCATAATTCACTTTCCATATGAACCCTGTCCTTATAAATGCACAAATATCTATGCTATACAAATAGAAAGTAAAAGAAAGAAAGATTTTCTAATTTCCGTACTGTCTTTCCTCTAACGAATTCAAGTAGTTCGAAGCATACTGTTTAAAATAACTGTTTTTCTTCCTTATAGACAGGATACACGTTTTTGCTGACCTGATCATCTTAGAAACCTTCAACAAATTTCTACCTCTGTGTTGTATAAGTACAATAACAAAAAAAAAAAAGGCAGAGCTTGTTTCGGGCCTATTAGGGAGAAAGCATCTACTGAGGTTCTCAGTATAGGAGCCATCAAAAGGATTGAATGGGAACTGGGCCAATACCACCTATTGTTTCCTCTGAAGGAAAACAAGAAGAAAAGAGCTTTTCGAGGACAGAGAAGAGTCCCTTTACAGATTCTTGAGGAAGAGATTTTGGTAATAATATCTGAAGCTCATCAAACTTTGACACAAGCCATCTCCTTCATTTTATGCTGCTGGTCTCTTGTCAGTATTAGTCACTGACTCCATCTTCCATAAGCCTATGCCAACCTAGTTCTCTAGCTTTTCTCATCTATCATCAGTTTAAATCTCTTCCTTTATTATTATATTAGTGTTTGACTATATTCAAATAATCCTTGTGCATACCCAAGGATTCAAAGGCCAGGAATTAAAAAATAATGAATAATGGGGATCAGAAAGGGAACTAATTTATAGGAACAGTCACCAAAGAGCAAGTGGGCCAAAGATACGTGCCCAAGTGGACACTATCCAGGGAGACATACGGAAAGTGAAATAAGGCAAAGGCTGCCAGAAGGTTCAGAGAAGCTGGCAAAATACTGAGGGAGAGGCACTATTTTCATTATATCTGCTCCACAAGGAATATTTCAGCCCCTGGGATACTGTGGTGATAGGACATGTGAAAGTACGTGATAGGATATGAGACCCAGTAGAGCTTCCGGTACAGACAGGAATATACACACAGAGACATGCATGAAGGTAATCAAAATAGAGTATAATGGTGTTGTCATTGGAGAAGAACATGGAGGTACCTGAGCACAGAGAGGGCACGTACCCAGCTGATGGGCCTGCAAGAGCAGTTCCTGAAGAAAGAAAAGTCTGAGCTGATCCCTACAGGATGAAAGGACCTAGCCAGTTACAGGGAAATGGTGAGAGCTGTGTTCTAGGAAGAAAGAGAAGTGTAGGCACTAGTAGACACAGGTGATGTGTGGGACAAGGAACAAGAGGTTCCACGTGACCAGGAATTATGTACAGGATGGGAACAGTGGCAAGAAATGGGACTGCTGAGGTGGAGAGGGGCCAGATCATGAAGAGCCACACAGGCCATGATGAGAATTTGTATTCTATAAGAAATGAGAATTGCCAAAGGATTGTAAGAGAATGGATCAGACTTGCATTTTAGAAAAATCACTCTGACTGCAGAATGGGAAATTAGAGGGTGTAAGGCTGAAAGGCAAGGCAAGGCAGCCAGTTGGGAGACTATTTCAGTAATCCTAATAATAGAGCAATGATGCTGGTCTGACTAGATAGAGACAGTGCAGAGAAAAATGGGAGCATTTGAGAAATATAAGGAAATAAAATTAACTGGACTTGGAGACTGACTTGAAGTATGTGACTCACCATAGAAGGGACAAAGAAGGAATCTGAGACAATCCTAGGTTTCTTATTTGGGCAACCAGAAAGATAATGATGCCTAGGTCACTTTGGGATGGGATGGAGACACAGTTCAGGACTGTATGCTGAGGATACATGAGCTGGTCTCCCTGTCCAGAGTCTTGATGGCCAACAACAATTTTCCATGGCTTTCAGAGGAAGAGTTCAAGAGCACAATTGTGATTGTGTTACTCCCTTGCTTAGAAAACTTTTAATGTTTCTAAAGACTCCACTGGTAGAGGAAAGGGATGAGACTGGAAAAAATAAAAGAAAAAAAAAAGACTGCTTACTGACCAAGTGGTCAAGTTGATGGGATGCTATGGGTCTGAAACAAGACAAGGGTTCCTTCTAGAGACAGCCTCAGACACAGAGCTCGGGGGGGGGGGGGGGAGGGGGGCAGGCAGGGCCACTGGGGAAAACTAAGGTTAATTCTGCAGCGATCAGGTCAGCCTAACAAATCCAAGGGCCAGAAACAACCTGCTGAAATGAGTTGGGGGCTGGGAAAGAGGAATACATACACTGGAGAATACCAATGTATAAGACAAGATTAAGATCATCATTAAGACAGTATCAAATGCAAATAGGCTTCAAATAAGAAAAGGGGGACAAAGGGAACTCCAGAGCAATTGCTGTAGAGTAGGTGTTCCTGTCCTACCTTTTGTAGGATATTGATCATGACTGGATCAGGGAAACCTAATCACCTCCAAAAAAATTCAGAACTCCTTAGTGCACTGTACAAGTTAATTTACTATCTATACAGTCCTGCCCTTCTAACTTTGTTCTATAAATCTCTGTTCCATAAATCACTGCATGTGTCTGACACTTCCCAAACTATGTGGTCTCTCTGCCTTTGCACAAGTTTCCCCCAGTAACTACCCAACTAACTGCATCATTCAAGCAAAGCTTAGAGACCTCCCCATCTGTGCCCCCGCAGCTTGGGCCATGTTCTCATTGCCCCTTGGGCTTTCTCATCACACCACGCTTGCTACTATCTCATAAATGTGATCTTATCTATTCATACCCTCTACAAGCTACCTGAGAGCAAAGATTGTGTCTTCTTCCTCTCATATCCACCATTCCCTAGCATTCTACATTGTGTAGAACATGCTCACTTAATAAATGTCTGTTGGCTAAATGGTCTTTATATATCTAAACACAGACTAGAAACACAGGACCAACATCAAATTATGTATGCCCCCTTTTCTTCTTTACACACACAAAAAAACAAAATTGGTAATAGTAGCAATTGGATAGCTCCCCTCCCACCTAAAAAGGGTAAAATTAATACAGTTGATCTTAAACAAAAGAGGTTTGAACTGCGTGTGTCCACTAATACACAAAAATTTTTGATAAATACAGTATAGTATTTTCTTTTCCTTTCGATTTTCTTTGTAATATTTTCTTTTCTCTCGCTGAGTTTATTGAAAGAATACAGTATATAATACAATGCAACATACAAAGCATGTGTTAATTGACTACGTTCTCCAAGGCTTCTGGTCAAGAGTTGGCTATTAGTAGTTAAGTTTTGGGGATGTTAAAAGTTATACAGGGATTTTTGACTGTTCTAGAGCATCAGTGCCCCTAACCTTTGTGTAGTTCAAGGGTCAGTTGTGCTGGGAATGCCATATATTTGTGTAACATTTTCCAGTTTACACATGCTCTTACTCATAGTATCTCAAAAGTGAGGGAAGAATTAGGAAGGCTCTGAACACACTGAATAACCACAGGACTATTGATCTGACTCAGGGAACTCAAAACTAAAATTGAAAATCGACAGTCTGTCCCTAACCCAGACTGGCTGGCCCTTATTGATACTTGAGAGGCAGGCCTTGGGAATTTCCAGTGACTCTAGATGACCTCAAAAAGAAACAGTATATTGACTCTGCCAGTACTCCTGCTATGTCACGAAATTCCCAGAAATGGCTTGGCTAGCTGAATGTATCCACAAGACAATCCAGGACGTAAGGTACCCTTCCCAAGAAAGGTGATTTCAACATACTGTCCCTTAGTAGATGAAGTGCTGGGATGACACCTTCTATTCTCTATTGAAAGATCTTCCAGTCCAATAATCTCCCTAAATTTCAGTGCCTTTCATTTTCTTCAGGGTGATTCCTTTTTAAGCCTGAAAAAGTATCACAAACTATCTGAAACCTTCTGTTAGACTGCTTCAGTAGTCAATAAACCCAAACCTCACTTATAACTTTTCACCTCAATTTGGTGGCATAAATAATTTTAGTCCTCATTTTAAAAATTATGATAGATTATATCAAACCTACTAATCTCATAGATAAAAATACACCAATGTAAAGAAAATGGAAATAAGAGCTCACAAATTTAAGTTCAAGTCTAAATTGTCTCATATAAAAAGAATACAACGTACAGAAATGTTAGCAATTATTTCTATTTTAGTAATAAATATGTATGCACTTACTTGTACCTTAGCTTTACAGAATTTCCAGGTTTTCCCCATGGAAGAACTATAAAATCTTTGGTGTCCATGATCACGGTCTTTTTTTTTTCCAGTCTTAATATTATCAAAAATTACTGTGATTTGCAAAAAACTTCTGAAAAAGTAACAAAGAATTATGCCAGAGTAAAGTAGTTAAATTACAAATTCAAAACTATGTGTAGTTGCAAGTTTTACAAACAGAAATCACTATGAGAAAAAAGCTTAAAGGTTAATCAGTAAATATATATATGTATATATGCTAAATTCAAGTTTTATATAGATCTATATACTAATAAAGTTATAAATATAACATGTGATGAAACTAAAAATTTACTAATAATGATATAGCAAAAAACTATGGAAATAGCTGAAAGTGAAGAATGCACTCAAGACAGAGCACATTCTCTGGCTCTTTCTGTGGTAAAGAGTATAAAAATATGCATCAGGTTTTGTTCCTATCCAAAAATAATATCCATGGCTAAATATAGGGAAAAGAAAAGAAACTTAGAGATACAATCCAAACTCAAAACCTTTCTTTGTACATATATGGCAATGTAAAATGAAAATTAAGGTATGTAATAATTACCCAAAGGCACTCTAATATCCTCATTCATCAAAGAAAATTTTAATGATGCTCTTTGCCTAAGATCAGAAATTAGCATATTTAGAAAGAATTTTTTAACAAGAAATGAAACAAAAAAAAAGATTTTCTGCCTAACTCCAAGTTAACCAGAAAATTAAATTATTCAGAACACCCTATTTCCTGAATATCCCAATTATTCATGGTTCTATAATAATTTACTCTGTAATGCTGAATTACCAAATCACGTGCACAACTATTAGATTTTTATACCAATAAAAATTTCCAAATGCTGAACGCTCTTAAAGAAATATAAAAGGAAAAAAAAGAAATATAAAAGGTATTACCATGTAGTCCATAGTTTTAAATGGTCAAACTATTTGATATTGTTGGTTTATATATGTGTTGCTACCTACTCACAACCCCCATAAATATTTACTAAGTCTCTGCTATATGCAAAGCACCATGCTGAAAGGCATGAAGGAGTCAAGATCCAGGGAAATTTGTTTTCTGGCTCAAATGGCATAGAGTCAAAAAGGGCATATAAAACCTATATATAAAAGCCATAAAATAGGGTAGAAATTATAAAGGCCATAAAATTTATAGATGTAATAATATAAGAAGTGAGAGAAAGAACTTGAGCTGGCTAGCATTTAATGTGGGGATTTGAGGAGAAAGGAGGCTATATAAGAAGATATGGGGGGGGGCACCTGGAGAGTACAGTTGGTTAAGCATCCAACTCTTGATTTCAGCTCAGGTCATGATCTCAGGGTTGTGAGATCAAGCCTCACGACAGGCTCAGAGCTGGGCATGAAACCTGTTTAAGATTTTCCCTTTCTCCCTCTGCCCCTTCCCACTCCACACACACATACACACACACACACACACACACAGAAGATATGATAAACAGTCGACACTATGAGAAAAACAGCTTTCAAATGGGGACTAATGACTGGTTCTATTTGGCTGATGTGCAGGTTGCGTGGAGGGGAAAAGTAGGCATACATTTGGAAATGTAGGCTGAGGCCCCATAACGAGTGGCTTTAAATGCAAAGTTCAGGCATTTGGAATTTACTCTGTAGCTAATGAGAGTCACTGAAAGTTTAAGATGGAAGAAGAGAAAATAAATCTAGAAGCTTTGCTCAAAAACTTCAGGAGAGAAGGCACCAGAACGGGAGTAACCAAATGCAAGGCTTTTGAAACATCAAAGTCTATATAGTCAAATGAGTAATTCTTCAGTTTTGTTCCTCTGGGACACTATCTCATAATTCCAGTGATGCAACCACTGTTCAAAACACTTTTAAAATGCCTCTTTTGAAATCGTCTGCAAAGTCCACCATACATACCCAACAAACACACAGATCTACTTTGTTGTGCCTCATTTAAAACTAAAAAGGATATTGTTCAGCAAGAGCGACTACTTTGTTCATTCAAATCCCGTTTCAAGTTATTCTCCCCCCCCCCCCAAAAAAAAAAAAAAACCTAATTTAGTCTGAAAGAGTAGATAGAGTTTGACTACCTTGGAGAAAATTCTGAAGACACTTATTCTCTGAAAATAATCCCAAAATGGAATTATACAAAATACTTCTATATTGCAAGCAGTTTAGTGGACGCATCGTAGGACTAAGTATAGTTGTGCCTTCGATAAACAAATATTTAGCCACTCCTTTGTGACCTCTTTAAGGGTACTTTAGTCACAACGGTAAATGGGACATGGTGTCTTCCCTCAAAGAACTCAAAATGAAAGGGAAAGCCATACAGTGAGACAATACTGTGGACCATTCCAACAGAAGGAAATACTTAGGAGGGACATAGAACTTAGACTCACTTCTCAAGCACCAAGTCTTAGCTTTCAAAGCTAAAATCAGTGTCAAAGAAAACTAAAGATACCACTGGGAAACTAAGATTCGGTTTGCTCTGGGGAGGGGAGGGTGCATCTTCTCTACCCCTCCTTTGTAGGCAAAACCTTTGTCTCACTTAAAACGAAAGAAAAGAAAAAAAAGAAAAGAAAAGAAAAGAAAAGAAAAGAAAAGAAAAGAAAGAGAAAGGAAGGAAGGAAGGAAGGAAGGAAGGAAGGAAGGAAGACAGACAAACTCTGGGAATAATCCTACTCAAAAAGAGTCTGTATCTCTTTTTGATTATAATCTGGAAATCCAATCGCTGGACCCTTGTCTACTGTGGCTAAATTTTTCATGAAAAGTTCCACACTGTTATCATTACCAAAAAACATTAAGCCAAAAGTTATGTGATCTTTAATTTTTAACTGTGTGGGGGATCGTGGTGTCTATGCCCCCCCCACATTGTTCAAGGGTCCACTTGTGCATAAAACTGAATACACGACGACTGAAATGAATTCTTATTTAAAAAAAAAGTCTGTAAATTTCATTAGGATGAGATGATTCAGATTTATAGCTCTGCTGATAATGTGATTTAACCAATCAATGGTCTTATTCGGGGGTATTTCACCTCACTGAATGCAATTAGTAAGGCTTCTTCTCAGCTAAATGTTTTATCAAGTCACACACATAAGCCAATTTTCCTGTATGAAGAGAAAAGGAAGATTATAACTGTGAGTCATGCTGTTCTGTCTGTTTCCTCTCGTAAAACCAACAGAGAGTCGGTCACCTTTCTCGGCACAGCAAGGACATAACAATGTCAGCCGGAAGATCAGCAAAGCCCCAAACTTTAGTCACTTAAGGGAATCAGGGAACTACAGATAAACTCCTTATTATGCAAACTTCGTCATTCCACCTTTCCTTTGGTGACACAATTTTTTTTTCTGATTATTAAACACCAGAAGTTTAATAGCTATTTGGAAAATTGTCTGGTTACCTGATTTATTAGGCCGCATCATTTTTCCACCCCCAACCTATTCTTCCCCACACCTACATGCATGATATGACCCAAAGGTGTCCATGATGGTTGGATTCTCCTTCCACATGAGATCTCATTCTGGGAATGCAACCCAACCATCAAGGCTGGCTACCACAGAATGGAAACCAGGAAATCATGATGATTTAGAACCCTGGAAACTCAGAGCATTCATAAAGAGTTGCCCTAGTCTCCTAGAATTTGCCATGATGCCACCGGCAGAATGGGAGGTTTGGGAAACCACTGTTTTTGAGATGGGACAATTTGTATAGCTAAAAACTTTTTTTTTTAAAGATTTTATTTATTTATTCATGAACGACAAAGAGAGAGGGGCAGAGACACAGGCAGAGGGAGAAGCAGGCTCCTTGCAGGTCCTTCCCAGGACCCCGGGATCACGACCTGAGCCAAAGGCAGACGCTCAACCACTGAGCCACCCAGGTGTCCCTATAACTAAAAACTTATCTAAGATGAGTTGATTATTCTAATGACCCAGATCATCTTAGACCTGAACACTTAAATGCCAGTAAATAAGAATTTTCTTTGCTTTAACACATATTTTGAGGCCCAAAAGCAAAGATTAAAATCTTTTTAAATATGTAAGGAAAAATACATGATCCCTAGCACAATCTGATGCCTGAGTGGCCTGCTAACTAAATATATGCCATTTTCACCTGGCATAGGCCATGAAAGTAAATCAGGTATTGACTTCTCAGCTGCACTTCATCTTTCAGCCAACCTATATATTTGATTAATATTGCCTCAGGGTACTAAATAGTACCCATGTCATCCAGATTTTACCTTTTATATGCAGGTTCCCTTGAGAAAAAATTAAGAAAGTTTGCTTGTGGATATCAAGGGGCAAGGAATCTTTTTAAAATATTTGCCAACTAAAAATGATAAGTAATATTAATGGATACTAGGTTAAACTTCAGAGGACCTTTATGTCAAAGTGGTCTCTGAGCCTCAGTTTATCGCTGTATTAAATGATGAGAATTCCACCCCACCTCCCCCACCCCCGCATCCCCCTGCTCTCCCATCCCCACCTAACTTGCAGGATATCAAACAAAAGGACACTAATTTGTGGCCTGTAAATCAGCGGGCTCCTTATGGGCCTCCAGAGAGCTCAGGGTTCAGGGAAGGGGCAGCCTTAGAAACTACCCTGAGAGTGGAATGAGGGAGCCATCAAGGCTTTTCTTAAACCACAGATTCTGATTTCATCTGTTTTACATAATGATCATACCTCTGAGTCAGATTAACTATAAATAAACTCCTCTATAGCTTAAAAAAATGTTTTAAAGGCACAACAGTAAATCAATATACAATTATTAATTCTGTATCAACTGAAAACTTCATATGATCGTCAATAGCAATGAAAGCATTAAATTTATCAACCACACCTTTCGGAAATCCAACCCTTTCATGGTTGAACCCTTTCATGACCTATGCCACTCATTCTCATAAAGTCCACTATTCCCCTCAGTGGTCACTTATGAATATCTTAGGAATGGGAAAAATTGAGGCATCCATCCAAGATTGGTGACAAAGCCAGAAATTACAATTTTATTCCCAGTCCCATTAGTTCCTCTTAGGACTTGAAAT